GAGTTTGTGCTTTTTTATTTGTATCTAAATGGCCACAGCCTACATCTATAGCTGATGGCTTGGTTTGGCTTAGGGTTATTTGTCTGTGGTTTTTTTACAGTAAATTTTCAACAAAAAAAAAAATTACAGTAAGATTTTTGTACTAAATTTAGTCGTAAATATTTATATCTTCAGTGATCACAGATTCTATTGTATAATTAGTATTTTTCACCACCTTTAAATGACTCTTTCGATTTTATAAAGACCAACAAATTATGGTTGTAATTTTTGAATTCTCTATGCCTTTTCTAGTAAGTGATTTTTGAAATTTGTTGTTGAGAGTAAATAAGATAAAAGAGCTTTTTGTGGTGAGTTTTTTTTTTTTTGGTATGAATTTTTTGTGGTGAGTTCTAAGTGAGGCTTTGTTGTTGGTGGATAAACTGATTTCTAAAGGCATAAAAATGGATTCAGTATGCCAAATATGAAGAACGAAAGGTGAGAATGTTATTCATATCCTATTCATTTGCTCTGTTTCAAGTTTAAAAAAAAAAATTGTTGGCAATTAAAAGTATGGTAAACTATAGATAGGGTAAGGTTTTATTTGCATCTGAAGCCTCGGATTTACTGAGTGCTCTTTGCCTCTTTCTCAACCCAAAACATGACCTTTTAAACCATTTGTGTCTGACTTTGTGTTTTCTTGGAAATCGATTCTTTTGTAGATTGTAGAGATTGAGAAGAAGGCAGCAACTAATATAGGTGCAACTTTTATGGCTTAAAATGTGACATTCAGGGTACGTTGCTACTCGTATGTTGCTATGAACTCTCCATCTTGGCTCTTTAGCGTTTTAGAGATGTTTTGTCTTTAGTTTATGTTGTCTGGTTTTTGGTTATTGTATAGTGTTAATTAAGTTTTGACAAGTTTCTTTAAGTCTTGTTTCCTCATTTATGAGGTATTTTTGGAAAATGTTGGGTCTTCGACCATTGTTCTATTATCTAGATGAATAAGAAAAAAAACACCATGTATAAATTGGTTATTTTTGCATAATTGGTTATTTTCGTGTTAGTGGCCCATTACGCTTGAATATTTACATAAAGCCCACTTTCTTTTGGTCCAGTTAGTTTCGTTCTAACTAATTTATAGGCTTTTAATTGTTTATAAACGATATCGGGTTAGATTCAAAGAGAAATTGGGTATTATTGGGGTTTTTTCTGGGTCCAGAGGTATTTTTATGGTTATAACTGATTTTTTTTTGCTATCAATCCATAAACGCAACTTTTATGGTTAATAATACTCCCTCCGTTTTTAAATATAGGATGTTTTAGAGTTGGACACATGGATTAAGAAAACTTATAAAATGTCTATTGTAACCCTATTTATTATTAGTTGTTTGTTTGATTACCAATTAATTTAAGGATAAAACAAGTCATTTATTATAAATTTTTGTATTGATTTCTGAAAACATCATATATTTTTAAACAAAGAAAGAGTCTTAAAACATCTTATATTAAAAAATGGAGGGAGTATCATTTAACAACAATTATCAGCGTAAATGCTTTTTCGAATCAAAAGATGTGTTCTATGAGTATCTGCAGTTGCTGATAACTGTAGGTGAACAATTAAAAAAAAAAAAAATTCAAAATTTATCTAAAATCAAGATATATGTAATGATTTTTAAAAAAAAACTTAAATATAATAACCAGAAAAATAAAAATAAAAATCATACTTTTTACTGTTTTAGTTAATATTCATAATAACCTATCATAATTTTATACTTATAAATTCTTAAACCCAGATTTTTTTAATAAATATTCTCTCCATCACTAATACATATATATAATAACTAAAATTCTTTTAATCTAATTTTAATCTTTAAAAAAAACATTTCTTAATGAAAACTATAACTTTCATCCAGGCAAAAAAAAACTAAAAAATAAACATAAGTATTATACACATAATTATTTTATAGCTTTTATTATTATTTATTAAATTACTAATGTTAAAATTTATAATTAGTAATTTAAAATTTAAAATTTTCTCATAATAATATAGCTTGATGTTTTTTATAATTATATAGTGTATTTATATTTTTAATTTATTATTTAATTATTACTACAAACGTGAATTGATCAATCATATTTTTTTTATAATTATATAATATGTTTATATTATTTCTGTTAACTGTAACTGTATATTAAATTATATTTTTACAGTTTAAATAAAAGTTATAAGTATTTTATGATGAAAAACTTGAGTGTAAAGTGCAAATATCTAAAAACTTTTCTTTGGGATTATTTGAGATGTAACACTCCTCAAGAAATTCAACAATTTTGTCCAAATTTTATGAGTTAATTACGCTCACATATACTTTTTCATCTTTACTTATACGTTTTGCACACTTTTAGCTCATGACACATTTTTGGTCTGCAAAATATAATGTTTAGGTTTTCAATCCTCAAACACACATGTCATTGTAGTATTTCAGGTGTCAATCCACTTGGAAAGTAAAGACAGTTGAGATATAGAGAAATATGATAAACTAAACTAATAGGGAAGAGTTTTTGTTGTCTAACAACCTAATGACAAACAAGAAAGCAAAAGAAAGCAATTAAAGAGCAGTAATGACAAAGAGAAACAGAGTAAAAGCTAAACTTGAAAGATTAAAAGATGGTTCAAGATCAAGGCAATGGTGATAGGATGATTCATCAAAACAAGCAATTCTAAACATTCAACCTTAGGTAAGGAACAATAATAAAGACTAATTCAATCTCTTGGCATTAATTCCTTTGCTAAATCACCTTTCAAATCCACTTTTGGTGGTGTATCTATGATAAGTAAGCATTGAAAGCAAGTTCCATAAAACCAATTAGCATGCTAGACATATAATCTCTTAGGCTAGGTTTACTAATCTCTTATATAATGGATAAAACATCAACTCACATTCTCATGCATAATCAACATTTAAAGATAATTTCCCGCCAATGTGGTACTAAGCAATAAGCACATTCAAGCAAGAAATGATAGATGCAAAGACTCATGACTATCTAAACACCATTTTCAAGCATTGAACTTCATTCATGCATTTCATCAAACACTTAGTATGCAAGTGAAAACCTAAGATCAACTTCTCCAACAAAGAGGTACTAAGCATTAAGCACAATCATATAATAAATGAAATGAGAAGATCTAAGCCCTAATCACCTAAACAATCACTAAAATCACCTCATATGCCCTAATCTTAAACCTAAAGGTTACTACTTACTAATCATGGTGAAAACCATCAAATCTATAATGAAAAGATAGTTAATCATTATTAGGAAGACAAGAGATTAAGAGAAATGCAAACTATTATTGAAATAAACAAAGATTTAAATACAAAATTGTTCAAAATCTAGAAAAGAAAAAACGAAGTGCTGGATAAAGAGATGATCCCAAAAATTAGGGTTTTCAAGTATTTATAGGAGTCTAAGCGGAATGGAAAAATTGTAAATAAATGGTCTTCTGACTTGGTTAACATCGTTCATGCTTGCTCGATGTGGATGATCGATGTTGATCTTGTAAGCTCCTGCCCGTTTACATCGCACGATGTTGTAGCTCGATGTTGGGTTTAGAGGTTTCACGAAACTTGCGATATCTTTTGAAGGGCTTTTCATAATGACCTGAAACCAAGTCCTCCTTCAAGCTAACTCGAATACCAATCTCTGCTATCCGAACGAACACACATCCTATAAACAACAAAGTAATTGTTTTTTATTTTTAAATTATGTCATCAAAAAATTTATTTATAAAAATTCGTTAACATAAAAATTAAATAATTTATAATTTTTTATTGTTTGTAAAATATTTATATATAAAATATATATAAACTTATAGACAAAAATAAAAATGAAAATTTATAAAAAAACAAAAATCTATTGATGTGGTGAGTTTCATTGGAAAAAAATTGGTTAATTATATATATAATTTAGAAAAAATACATTTAAATTTGATATTTTGTGTTTGAATTTTGTATTCTGAAAACTCTCATTTTTTTATAGCTATAACAAGAGTTTAAGGGGACAAATTTATATATGTTTCTGGTAATACAAATTCGTTTACAGCGAATTTGCAATAAAAATTAACATTGTTAAAAACTGTTTTTTAATTACTATTTATATTCATTACTAAGTAGCATACAAATTTGCTTTGGCAAAACAAAACATATACGAGTTTGATGTAAAGTATTTTCTTTTTCAATAAAGTAATAAAAATACACTCATTTGAAAAAAACTTGAATTATTCATTTAGTCGAATCAATATTTTGACAGGTCTCACTCAGTACCACCATATCATCATCATTCCCTAATTTATTACAAACACAATTATTATCCAACCTTCGAAAAATAGGCATTGTTAAATTAAATGAAAATTTTGTAGTTAGAACTTAGAAATGACAAAGTTTTTTTTTCCTTTCTTGTAGATCTGCAGAGAGCCATGTGCATGGGGAATCAACTTCACCTGGTTTTTTCCCATACACAGAGAAAAGGTTTTTTTTCTCCCATAAAAAGTAATAATAATGTAATAGTAAAAATAAAGAATAAAGGACTTAAGATCATGATTCATGAGACAGCAACGAAAGATACATGTAGCATTTGCTAAAACCAGACACATCCAATTTTTAAATTTGCATAATAGTTGTAACCACATATATTCTTCATACATAAAATAATATATCATTATTTGTTTGTATCAATCTTTGTTGCCATTCGTTGGTCGCGATACTATTATCGTCACTTTATAAAGAGAAATTGTTTTACACCTGTATGATATAATACTAGACTTTTGGCTACATATTGTTATATCTTTTTAATGCTTTTTGGCAAATTTATATAAGAATAACTTGCCATTCTTTTTTACAACTTTTGAACTCTTATGCTATTGACAGCCTAGGCCCTCGATCTGTGGGATCTCTAAAATACTTAGGAAAAAATGTTTAGTTATTATTTTGGTGAACCACCGAATATAGAATAAAAAATCTAAATAAATGTCGTTAAAACAAGAAAAAGTATATAAATAAATAGAAGCCTATTATCCTTCCAAATACATTAATTTTCCTTTTACGTATTTGGGGATAAAAGGGTTCACAGACAGACTGGGTAACTCCTACAAAGATTATACTTCTTTGGATAACTAAATTTCTTAATTAGAGTCCAAATTTGGGACTTACAAGTTACCACAATGTTTACTTAGTTTATAACAACTTGACACAAACTGGCGCTGATGATGAAAAAAAGATTGAGGATATTCCAAAAAAAAAAAAACAACTTGACAGAAACAAAAAAAAATACTATATTTGTACAAAAGGTTAATTAGGTAGACAACATATCATTTGCAGTATTTGATGTTTTAAAACAGATATGATAGCAAAATTTGTAAATTACATTTTTTGTTCCATGCATATTAAATCAAATGAAATAATGTACCTAATAAGATAGCAATGATATTTATTTAAAAGACATCCGAAAATATGTTATTACAAAAAAATATCACATAAAATTTAATTTCTACATATTAAAATTATTGTTTTTATGTAATTTTATCTTCTTACAAAATCAGCTTATCTAATATTATATGTAAACAACTCGTCTACAATTACAACTAAAATAATAATAATTTTCAGTTTTGAAAAAGTAATTTATAAAGTCCTTTAACAAAAATAAATTATATTTTTTTTTTGTTATCTGAATTTTATTAAGAACAGTGAAGTATATAGAGATGAAATACATTGGTGGAATTCAGATTCAGAAACTAAAGTAAAAACACACAACTACAAATTGGAATTAAGCCTAAAAACCGGACCAATTAATCTAGAAGAGGAAGAAACGAACTTGAGAGGAACTAGATGCACAAGGAGCCCAGCAGAAATCACATCTCATTTCACATTTGTCCCGGAATCTTTACACGAACACACGTGACCTGCAAAGCCATGAGAAACACTCCCAACAACTGAGACTTCTGCCGTATCAAACACCAATAGAACCCAAAGCTTGACGGAAATGAAGCCACCTCAAAGAACCACAAATCTAGCCCAAAGTTCAGCAAAAGAATCCGGAAGAAGCTGCAAGAAAATCAAACAGGAAGACACCAACGGTAAGAAAGGACGCATAAACAGAAAACGCTTGACAAATACACCAAATAGAGCATATCCGAAACTGGAGCTTCCAAGAGAAGAGAAGGAGAAGAGGCAAGAGGCAAAACAAATTATATACATTTGCTTTTTTAGTTCTCCATATCGTTTGTGTGAAGCATTTGACATCAACTAACTACGTAGTCAATATTTCAACCATGACCGCTTTATTTCGAATAACGTTATCTTAAAATCCTATGATAATTCAAAAACTCTTCAATAAATAAAAATAGAAATAAATAAAATAATTTTGATGTATCTAATCTGTTACCAAACTGTCATTGGCTTAGTGGGGCAGACATCCCATGTGCAGCCTCCTTGGCTTCTGCTTCAGAGTTTCATCTTATTCTTCCTTCTCTCTCAATGGCCCATCTTCCCATTTCCACTTTCATTTCTCCACAATTTTAACCCAAAGTTTCGACCTTTATCATCTTTCTCAAATTTCTGTCTCTAAGATATGAAGAAAAGAAGAGCCTTTCTCAAGTTCTCGTTTCTCCTCCTCCTGATTCTGGAGTTTTCAAGAGCTGATTCAGATGGAGACCTCTCAGCGATGCTCGCACTCAAGAAAAGCCTAAACCCACCTTCTTCTCTCGGATGGTCCGACCCGGACCCGTGTAAATGGGCTCACGTCGTTTGTACAGGCTCAAAACGGGTGACCCGGATCCAAATCGGGCATTCGGGCCTTCAAGGTACACTCTCTCCTGATCTTAGCTCCTTAACAGAGCTCGAAAGGCTCGAGCTTCAATGGAACAACATCTCTGGTCCTGTTCCTTCTTTGAGTGGCTTATCTTCATTACAAGTCTTGATGCTAAGCAACAATCACTTCGAATCGATCCCTAAGGATATCTTCCAAGGCTTATCTTCTTTACAATCTTTTGAAATCGACAACAACCCTTTTGAATCTTGGGAGATTCCAGAGAGCTTGAGAGACGCTTCTGCTCTTCAGAATTTCTCGGCGAATTCGGCTAATGTCTCAGGGAAATTACCCGGTTTTCTCGGACCGGATGAGTTTCCCGGTTTGTCGATTTTGCATTTGGCTTTCAATAACTTAGAAGGTGAGTTGCCTTTGGGGTTGTCCGGCTCGCAGATTCAGTCATTGTGGCTCAATGGTCAGAAACTAACCGGTTCTATCGATGTTCTTCAGAACATGACCGGGTTAAGAGAGGTTTGGCTTCATTCGAATGAGTTTTCCGGTTCTCTGCCTGATTTCTCCGGTCTGAAAGAGCTTGAGACCTTGAGTTTGAGAGATAACTCGTTTACTGGCCCGGTTCCTGAGTCTTTGATCAGTCTTGAGTCGTTGAAAGCTGTGAACTTGACGAATAATCATCTTCAAGGACCGTTTCCTGAGTTCAAGAGCTCGGTTTCTGTTGATTTGGAGAATGATACAAACAGCTTTTGCTTGCCTTCTCCTGGTGCGTGTGATCCTAGAGTGAGATCTTTGCTTTTGATTGTTAGCTCCATGGATTATCCGTTGAGGTTAGCAGAGAGCTGGAAAGGGAACGATCCTTGCACGAATTGGATCGGTATAGCTTGTAGCAATGGGAACATCACGGTGATTAATCTTGAGAAAATGGGTTTAACCGGGACAGTTTCTCCCGAGTTTGGTAGCATCAAATCGCTTCAAAGCATCGTTCTTGGAACCAACAACCTCACCGGAACGATTCCTCGAGAGCTCACAACGTTACCTAACCTCAAAACACTCGATCTTTCGAGTAACCGGCTTTTCGGGAAGGTCCCGGCTTTCAAAAGCAATGTGATTGTGAATACTAGTGGCAACCCCGACATTGGGAAGGATAAAAGCTCTTTATCTCCTCCTGGTTCTTCTTCAACTTCAGGTGCTGGTTCAGGATCAGGGATCAAAGGTGGTGATAGTAATGGGAGAAGAGTAAAGTCTTCATCTTTTATAGGAATCATCATTGGTTCGGTTCTTGGAGGTCTGTTATCGATCTTCTTGATCGGTTTACTACTTTTCTGCTGGTACAAGAAGAGGCAAAAGCGGTTCGACAGCGGCTCTAACACGGTCGTGGTACATCCGAGGCACTCTGGCTCTGACAACGAGAGCGTCAAGATCACGGTGGCGGGTTCGAGCGTTAGCGTTGGAGGCATAAGTGAAAGCTACACGCTTCCCGGTACGAGCGAAGCAGGGGATAATATTCAAATGGTGGAAGCAGGGAACATGCTGATCTCAATCCAAGTGCTTCGTTCAGTGACTAACAACTTCAGTGAAGACAACATCTTGGGCAGAGGAGGTTTCGGGGTTGTGTACAAAGGCGAGTTGCACGACGGGACCAAGATCGCTGTAAAGAGAATGGAGAATGGTATGATCGCTGGTAAAGGCTTCGCGGAATTCAAATCGGAGATCGCGGTTTTAACGAAGGTTAGGCATCGACATTTGGTTACGCTTCTTGGTTATTGCTTGGACGGGAACGAGAAGCTTCTTGTATATGAGTGTATGCCTCAAGGGACATTGAGTAGGCATTTGTTTGATTGGTCAGAGGAAGGGCTTAAGCCTCTTTTGTGGAAACAGAGGTTGACATTAGCCTTGGATGTTGCTAGAGGCGTGGAGTATCTCCATGGATTAGCTCATCAGAGCTTCATTCACAGAGATCTTAAGCCGTCGAACATTCTTTTAGGCGATGATATGCGCGCGAAAGTCGCAGACTTTGGCCTCGTTCGCCTCGCCCCTGAAGGGAAAGGATCGATTGAGACTAGAATCGCTGGAACATTTGGTTACTTGGCACCCGAATATGCAGGTTTGTTAGTCACTAAACCCATAAAGATCGTTTCTTTATGATTATATATGCAGTTTAATTAGTTACTTAGCCCATAAAGATCGATTTTTTAATGATTATATGAAAGTTAGTTAGTTACTTAGCCCATAAAAAAAGATTGTTTCTTTACGATTGTATGTAGGTTAGTTAATTAGTTATAGTTCCCGTACAGAACTTACTTAGTGAATTGTGATCTATTTGTTGAGTGTGATACATCAAGAACATCTAAGATTGTGTCTTTATGATTGTGTGCGGGCTAGTTAGTTATATTCCGTTTTTTGGTTATTAGAAGCTTATACGGAACATAGTTAATGATCCCACTCATTTTAATGATTCAATTTGAGTTGTTGATTTGTAATGATGATTGTGATCTAGTTGTTCATTTGTAATACATAAAGAACATCAAATATTGTTTCTTTATGATTGTATGCAGGTTAGTAAGTTAGCTATAAGCTCTGTTTATAGGTTATTAGAAGCTTATACCGAACTTAGTGAATGATCCCACCCATTTTGATGATTCAGTTTGAGTAAAAGATTATTTCTTGATGATGATGTGATCTGTTTGTTGCAGTTACGGGTCGAGTGACTACAAAGGTTGATGTGTACAGCTTTGGGGTGATTCTAATGGAACTCATAACAGGAAGAAAGTCTCTAGACGAATCGCAACCAGAAGAGAGCATTCACTTGGTCTCTTGGTTTAAACGCATGTTCATCAACAAAGAATCATCATTCAAGAAAGCGATCGATCCTACAATAGACCTCGACGAAGAAACCCTAGCGAGCGTTTACACGGTTGCTGAGCTCGCGGGCCATTGCTGTGCCCGTGAGCCTTACCAGAGACCAGACATGGGACACGCGGTTAACATTCTGTCTTCACTCGTCGAGCTATGGAAACCGTCTGATCAGAATCCAGAAGACATATACGGTATTGATCTAGACATGTCTTTGCCTCAAGCTCTTAAGAAATGGCAAGCTTATGAAGGGAGAAGTGATGTTGAATCTTCTTCTACTTCATCGCATTTACCTAGCTTGGACAACACGCAGATGAGTATTCCCACTAGACCCTTCGGATTCGCAGAGTCTTTCACTTCCGTAGATGGACGATGAAATGAGAATTCCTCAAAACCCAGATTTGTTTTTTTTTTTCTTCTTCTTCTTCTGTATATTTGTGTGTTCCTCCTCTCCTCTTTCATCACTTCTCAGTCTCACTTCACAATTCTTTCATGTTTCTTGTGACGTAAGTAACATTTAGGGTTTTGGGTTTCTTAATATTATTTGATGTTTGTTTTGTTGATTTTAGAAGAAGATGACATGTGCTCTTTAAGTTTGTGGAAATGGGAATATAATGAGGTAGAGAGAGGTTGGCACTGGATCCATCTTCACATGCCTGTCTCTTTTGTTTGGATTCTTTATTTTTAAATATATCTTTTATAAATTGACCAAAATGATAACTAATTTAGTTTCTCGATTGATTGCAATAAGCAATAGATTTCAAAATTGGGTTAAATTAGTACCTAGGACACAAAGTCACATACTACGCTGGTTTTATTTATTTATTTATTATCATTTTTTTTACGCTGGTTTTATTCATATAATTCTCCCAATTTTGTTTGAGATTTTGGGTGATATTTAAATTCTTTAAATATTCGAACTTTTGGTTACACGTTAAAAGAAAATCTACTACGGTTGAAAATGATTAAAGAACCATTTAAAAGTCCCTATAATAAAAAGAATCATTATGACAACGTTTGGCGACAGTTCACCCAATTATAGATAAATAAATAAGTCTTGGTCATGACTACAATAGTTCAATTATATTTTAGGGATAATTTTTGTTTTGTTAGGAAAAATACTGGTTATGTAGCTGCAAAAATTCCGATTTCAAGCTTTCAAGAAAACTAGATTTTTAACTCGTGCTACGCGCGAGTCTGTATTAATAATTTAGTTTATTTTTGGCTAATATCTTTTAAATTATCAAAACTATAATATATTTATAGAAATTTTCTTTTATATAAAAAAATAAAAACATAATATGTAGTATTTCCTATTTTTATTTATAAAAATTATAAATCTTATTAAGTAAAATCATAGTAATGACACCTAACGAGTTATCCAACTTTGATGTGCATATGTTTGATTTAGAAAATGATTTCCATACTAAATTTTTGGTGTTATGTTTTGTATCCTTAGGATTTCTATGGTTCTTTTTCTTTTTAACGGTTTATATGTCTAAATATTTAGTTTATTTACTAAATGTGTCACTAATGTTGTGTACATATACATATATAATATATGATATATGTTGTCAGATTTACTTTTGTTAGTAAGCTATACTAATCGTGTAAAGCTGTTTTTTGCTTCTCCACCAGATCTTCTACGAATGTTAGGTCATATCTCTATTCAGTTTATAAGATTTGTTTTATTTGCAGTCAACTATTTGCTAATATTTGTTTTTAAACATGTAAGATGATGTTGAGACTTTACATTATCACTGTTTTTTTTTAATCTTTTGTGTGTTTATTAATGTTTTAATTTGAATATTTTATCTTCATATATTCTCATTTGAATTTGATTCATAACTTTGTCATATTATATAATTTAAATAAAATTTTAGAGGATGTTGTTCATGTTGACTAAGTTATAAGCAGTAAATATGTATACAAATCAGACTTTATCACTTATTATATTTTGAATGTAAAGTTACTTGTGTATTATTTTACTTTGTTAATTTTCAAACCAGACGCAACCAAGGTATTAATCTTTGTAAATTTAAATAATATGTTTGATTTAGAAACTTGCATAACCTATTAAAATTTTATATGGTTATTCATAGTCAACACCAATATTTTAGAAATCATGAATGTTTTTGTAACTATTTTTCAAACTAATTTCTTCTTAGATCTTGTTTTTTTGTTATTTTAAATATTTTCGATGGTAATTTTATATTTTATTTTAACTATCTAATTTTCTGCAGGTTTGATATACTTAAAACATACATATTTTTAATTAATCTCTTTTGTTATTGATTTTTCAAATAGGTAGCATATATATTAATCTAATATCGTTTACATAAATGTTTTGTCTTTGTTAAATTTAGTTTTTAAATTAATTAAAATGCTATTTTGACATGCTATAACTGGTTATTCTAAATTTTAAGTGAACTTCTCTCAAAAGCTTACACCATCATTTGCTTTTTTTTTAGTTAATATTTGCTTGGTAGTTAGCCTAAATATCAAGCTAATTTTACTTTATAAGACTTTTTTCTTTGATAATTTATCTCTCTTGATATTGATTTTTATTTTATTTGAACACACCATTGTTTTTAAAATATTGATATTTTGAAGACATAAATTTTTTGTTTGATAAATATTTTTATATGAATTTTTTAAGTAGTTAGTCAGATATCAAGTCAATATATTTTTAAGTGTTTTTTTTAAATTGTAAAACTTAATTTTCATTTTAGTTTTTTAGTTAATTAATTTCTTAATATTGATTTCTTAAATAATTAACTTAAATATTAATATTATTTTTGTTAGTTAAGTTTTTTTATATTATTTAAGTTTTTTTTATTCTCTTACTTATTCTGTTTATATTGATTTTGTTAAATAAATAACATAGATATTAAGTTAATATCCTCTTTTTTTATTAATTTAACTTTTTCGATATGGACTTGTTGTAAGAAATAATTTATGTTTTGGTTTTTGTTAGTTAAACATTTTTTTATATTGTTTTCTTCAGTAATTAGCATAAAGTATCATTTTAGGTTTGCTAAGATTTTTGTGTTAATTTTTTAAATATTTCCCCAAAAATTATAAGTTTTAGATGACTTTCTTTTTTTATAATTTAAGATGAATGTTTTTTTTTATATAAAAATTTAATCTTAATATTTTTTCTAAATAAATTACCCATTTAAAAAATATATGCTAAATTTTTTTTTTAATTTAACATTTTCGTTATTGATTTACATATTTGTTTTTATTAGTTTAGTTTTTGTGACAATGAGTTTTTATTTTATTTTCACAATATATTTAGACTTTTGACATAAATTTATTTTATTTAGTTAAAAAATTATCTTAATTTTCCATTATATTGTGATAATTTTATATTTTTGTATGTTTTAATTTATTTAAATTATTAATAATATTTTTTATTTTTTATGTTTAATAAAAAACGCTGATATAGACTAATCAGATTGAGTATATATGTCCTATGTGGACGCTCTCATTGGCCTAAGACTTCAACACGGACCACAACTAATATATTTTAAGTTAGCAGTTCAGATTTTAATTATTTGTCGTGATTAAAATTTTAAAATAATTTAATTATGGTTTTAAATACATTTTTTAATAATTGTTTTTAATATATATGATTTTTCTTTCATAATTTATTTATATGTTAATTTACCTTTTTATTGTTAATAGAAAAATAAGATCTATTTTCAAAAATCCTTTTTATTAATAACTAACTTAAAATTTAGAAACTTTCCTAATAACAACAAAAAATTAATTAAAATTTAGAAATTTTCCTTATAACAATTAAAACAAATTAATTAATTTTAATATATAATATATAATTAACTAAAAATAATGATGATGTGTACCAATAGAATTGAATCTTTAAATCATATGTAGACACTCTTAGAGACATTCAGCATCAACTTTTATTAGTAATAGACTAGGTATATAATTTTTATTAGTAATAGACTAGGTACTAAACTTTTGGTATTTTGTCTTGTATCCTTAAGATTTCTATTGTTGTTCTTTTTTAAGATTTTATATATTCAAATATTTAGTTATTGATTTAAATATCTCACTGATATTGTGTAACTATGCATACATAATATATGATTCATGTTGATTCAGATTTACTTTTGTTAGGATGCTACAATAGTTGTGTAAAGCTTATTTTGCTTCTCCATCAGATCTTCTACGAAGTTTAGGTTAAATCTCTATTTAATTTATAAAATCTGTTTTATTTGCAGTTAACTATTTGATCATTTTTTTAAAACATGTAAGATAGTGTAGAGTCTTCACATTATTTTTCATTGTTTTATCTTTTGTGTGTTTTATATATTTTTTAATTTGAATAGTTTGTATAGATATATTCCAATTTGAATTTGATTTATAACATTGTCATACATTATTATTTAAATAAAATTTTAGAAAATGTTACTCATGTGCTGTTCATGTTGGCTAAGTTATAAGTAGTAGCTATCTATAAAAAATCAGACTTTATTACTTGTTATATTTCGAATGTAGAGTTATTTGTGTTGTATTTTTTTGTTAGTTTTTAAATCAGACGTAGCCAAAGTATTAGTTTTTGTAAATTTAAATAATATATTTGATTTAGAAACTCATATAACATACTGTAATTTTATATGGTTATTCATAGTGAATACCAATATTTTAGAAATCATAAATTTTCTGGAACTAAATTTCAAACTGATTTTCTTTTTAGATTTTGTTTGTTTGTTATTTTACATATCTTTTAATAGTAATTTTATATTTTATTTTAATTTATATAATTTTATGCATGTTTGATATACTTAAAACACATATATTTTTAATTAAGCTATTTTGTTATTGATTTTCCAAATAGGTAGCATATATATTAATTTAATTATTTTTACATAAATTTTTTTTGTTAAATTTTAATGTTAATTATAATATTGTTTTGACATGCTATAACTCGATATTCTAAATTTGATGTGAACTTATCTCAAAAACTTATATCATCATTGTTTTTTTAGTTCATATTTTTATGTTGATTTTCCAAAACATTAGCCTAAATATCAATCTAATTTTATTTTATACGAATTTTGCCTTTGATAATTTACCTCTCTTGATACTGGTTTCTATTTTATTTTAACACAAAATATTTGACATTTTTGAAGACATAATTTCATTTTTTGTTATTTTGTTAGTTAAATTTTGTTTATATTGATTTTTTAAGTAGTTAGTCATATATCAAGTCAATTTCTTTTTAGATGAATTTTTTAAATATAAAATTTTGTAAAAAGTAATTTTTGTTTTATTTATTGATTAATTAATTTCTTAATACTGATTTTTAAATAAGTAGCTTAAATATTTATCTTTTTTTGTTAGTTAAGTTTTTTAGTATGACTTAAGTTTTTTTATTCTCTTACTAATTTTCTTTATATTGATTTTGTTAAATAAATAGCATAGATATCAAGTTAATTTCCTTTTTTTCTTTGTTAATTTAACCTTTTTGATATGAATTTTTATTTTAATTTTATTGACATGGTGTAAGAAATAATTTTTGTTTTATTTTTTGTTAGTTAAATGTTTTTATCTTCAGTAAATAGTATAAAATATTATTTTTTGGTTAGTTAAACTATTTGTGTTGATTTTCTAAATAATTAGGCTATATATCAAATTTTTTGATGACTTTTCTTTGTTAATTTAACATTAATTTGTTTTTGTAGTATTGATAGTTTTAAATAACAATTTTATATGTTTATATAACAATTTAACTTTAATATTTTTGTTAAATTAATTATTCATTTGAAATATATATGATAATTTATATTAATTTCCCATTATACTATGATAATTTAGATTTTTGTGTTTTTAACTTATTTAAATTGTTAATCATATTTAATATTTTTATGGATAATAAAAAATGCTGATTTTGACCAATCAAATTGAGTTTCTATGTTCTATGTGGACGCTTTCATCAGTATAAAACATCAGCATGGACCATAACTAATATATTTTAAGTTAGTAGCTCAGATTATAATTGTTTATCATAATTAAAATTTTGAAATAGTTTAATGATGGTCTTAAATAGATTTTTTAATTATTTTGTTTAATATATATGATTTTTCCTGAATGATCTATTTATATGTTAAATTACCTTTTGTTGTAAATAGAAAAATAAGATCTACTTTCTAACCTTTTTTATTAATAACTAATTTAAAATTTAGAAAATCTTCTAATAACAACAAAAACGAAATTAATTAAAAATTAGAAATTTTCTTTTTGAAAATAAAAAACAAAATTAATTAATTTAATATACAATATATAATTAACTAAATATAATGATGATGTGTACCAATATAATTGAATCTTTAAATCCTATGTGGACATCTTTAGAGGCATTTAGCTTCAACTTTTATTAGTAATAGATAAATATGTGGATGAAAATTATTTTCGTAAGAATCTTCTATACTACTATCCACCATTGTAAAATCTAGATTGTTCTTGGGAAGGAAAAGGAAAATGTAACAGTAGTACTACAATTTTTCTTTGTATACTAATTTTGATTTTTTTTTATAGGAATTGTAATTTAAGTTTTGCCGTGTCTTCATATAACTACTGGCATAACCAATATGATCTCATTTTTCTTAAAATTTTGTATTTTACTTATTATAACATATTTAAATACAAAATTATATTCTCTCTTTTTATTCCGCTTATGGCATAAATTATCTAGACACTCTGGTTGTGTAATTATGCGACGGAATATCATCATCATAAACGCCGCGAAAATAACCACCGAGATGAAAGTGTAAATGACGTTAGTTATGTAGTATATTGAGCACAAGTGGAATGGTGCCAGTAAATTTGTGGGTTCGTAAGAGATTTGTAGCCGGAACCGTACGACCACCACTCAAACCACTAGTACAAATAATCGTAAGCAACACAGTAAACGCCACGATAAGGATTGTGTGACATGATTTAACACAGTGACGCCAGTGGTTCATATTCCTGTAAAAAAAAAGAAGTACAAAGATGAGCTAGGAAGAGAATATCCGGAAACTGATGACTCAACGAGGGACAAACACAAGAGACACTCACTCGACGGTAAACCCCCAAGTCTACGCTTCCATATATCTTTTCTTGTTATGCGGGTATCTTCCATTATCTGCAACACAAATCCCACATTCCCCTCAATATAATCTCACTTTAGAATTTGTATGCCTTGTTTGATGCCACAAGCGAGAAAAACAAAAAAAAATCTATGTTTATAAAAGAAACCATTGACAATAACAATTGCTATTGTAGTCTAATATAGAAGAACTATAGATCAAATCTTTTAAAACCCTAAATAACCTATCTAAAAAATTACAAATCTAAACCAGAATCAAGTTTGGCCACCCTAGTTCTATCATTTGAAATGCATATATCAAATAGGAGTTATTGGTTCTTGTATTTTAATGAATTTAGAAATTTTTTTTGGATTTGATAAATCTATTGATTTTAAAATCAGCAAAAAGGAAAAAAATTAAATCCACTCAAATACCAAAGCTAAACTTTGTATTTGGGTCTTTGTATTTTAGTCATGAAAATCCTTTCAAATTCAATGAAAACTAAAATCTTTATAATATTTAAATTTTAAAATTATAGAACCAATAACACCGTATTTCATTATAGATTTTAAAATCATAGAAACCAATAACATTGTATTTCAATATAGATTTTAAAATACAAGAACCAATAATACTGAATTTGGTTTGGATTTTCAAATCTATTAAAATATAAGAACCATTGTTAAATTATACTAACTCTTTTACCAATTAACAATTGTATAACTATAAGGGTTACGTAATTAAGAAGATTCATGTTTTCATCGTAGTAGCCCACACAAACTTATTAACAATGCCATGTTTTAAAATTTTGTTAATTATGATTAGTTCAATGAGAGTAATGATAAAATACCGTTGCTTTTTATTTTTCTCAAGGCTGCCTTGTTAGATGGAAAGCAAATGTTACACGTACGAACAGGGGCGGATCTACATGATGATGAGGTGGGGCACGTGCCCCACACTAATTGCATAGATTTCCTAATGAGCAACTACTACGTCTTATATGTTAGATATTAGTTGGTTTTGGATAATAACATTTGAAGTTTTTCAAGAAAAGTTTTGTTGTATTTTTCATGTTTTCTTTATTTATTTAATTCTTATGTAAATCATTCTCATATCTTTTTCCAACTTTTTCTATCATTTTTTTTATTACATTTTATATCTTTTTCATCTCTTTTATATTTTTAATATACATATTGTTATTTCTCTTTCTTTGAATTTTAATAAACTAGTTTTTTCTTATTTTTTTTACAGTTAAATACTTAAAAACAAATAACTAAAGACACTAAATTTTATTAGATGTTTATCAAATAGTTTATAGTCTAATTTTGTATAAAAGCCGTTTTATTATTATTTATATATTTTTTTAAAGGGATATATATTTTTATATGTGAAAATATCTAAAAATCGATAAAAATAGTTTTATTTATCAGTATATTTTTTTAAAACTTAAAGTTCAAAATTTATTATAAGATATCATTTTTCAATAAAAAATTTACAATTGTAATTTTTTATTATAATATTTTTATGCCCTATATAAATAGTTTTTCTGCATAAGCCCAGCTTATATCACAATACACTACAAAAATCAAGGTGTTTAACATCATTTAATTAGAGTTACTCTAAGAAATGACGGTAAATAAAAATTAATAAAGTTACCTTATGTCACATTTTGAAATGATGTAAAATGATATTTCGTTTTTCTTGTTTTATTAAAAATTAATAAGAAAATAAAATGGACATTAATCTCAAATACCCCTCTGTACAAGAGGAAAATTCTAACTGTCACTCACAAATCTGACTGCCCCTCTTACCATGGAATTGCCAATTTTATCTTTCATTAATATAAAACAAACAAAAAAATTGAAAAAGAAAAAGAAAAAGCAGCAACGGTTTGGTAAGAAATTTAATTGAAACCAATCCTACAATTTAATCCTCTAAACCAACCAAACCAACCAAATTTTAATTATATTGCTCCTCTTGTCGTCTTTTTCCTTTCACGTTGTCTTCTTCCTCTCATGTTTCCACCATTGACAAAACTGGAGGCATGAAATTGAAGGTTAGTTGTTGCGGTTTCTTATACTATTTTCGATTTCTTTATTGAATTATCAAGTTTACGTCATATGCAAAGCAATTAATACATATTTTCTTCTCAATTAGAGAATTTCATAGTAAAGAAAATTTTGATTTTTTTTGCTCATTGGAGCTACTGAGCTAGTTGGGTAAGGCTAATAGAAACTGATATTGTTAATTAAATAGGATATCTTGGTTAATTGAGCAATGAATCGTAATAACTAGTGATGATTCGTATGATGAACCAAACTTTCTGGGTATTACTGGGTACAACTAGCACAACTAGATATATTAGTACGAGTAGGATCAACCTAACTTTTTGGGTACAACTAGCATAACTGGACATATTAAGTGAATTTAGTACGACTAGGATTAACCAAACTTTCTAGGTACTACTGGGTACAACTATCATAACAGGACATATTAAGTGAATTAGTACGACTAGGATGAGCCAAACTTTCTGGGTACTACTGGTACAGCTAGCGTAACTGGACATCTTAAGTGAATTAGTACGACTAGTAAAACTGGTACAACTATGATAAGATTACCTTACGATTGTTTTGTTCTTTTCAGGGGAAATGAGTAGCAGTGGTTGCACAGTCATATGTTTTGATTATGGGGGATTCTATTCAAAAGACGGTGATAAAATTATATGGAATTCTGTAGAAGATGAGATTCACACTTTAGTGATGAGGAAATCTTTGGAGGATGTAACTTATCTTGGATTAGTGGAGGGAATTTGCAGAAAGGTTTTGATAGATGCAGCTACATCTCAGCTGAAAATTAGTTTCTATCCAATGGTCTTGAACACGAAGAAACCATCATATATTTGGAATGACGAAAATGTTTTTGGTTATCTACTACAAATGAGTAAAGATCAATGTAGATGTGTTCTACATGTGGAGTTCATCAAGGATGTTGATCAAAGTCATGGAAGCGTGCATGTTTCAAGAGAGGATCATGGAGTTGACGTTGATGTAGGTCCGAGTAATGATGAGCTGTTTTCTACCGCTAGAGATGGTTTAGAAATACCGGACAGTGAAATGCAAAACAATGAGATGCAAGAAAATGATACAGATCCTCTACAAAGATATGAGCTCGTGTATGATGATGATACAGAAGTCAGACATTCTGATGGAAACTCGCAAGTAAGTCATGGATGGGAAGATGGTTTAGATATATATATATATATATATATATATATATATAAAGGTCAAGAATTTGACACTAGGCAGGGACTGCAAGCTCTCCTGCAGAAAGGTGCACATGAGAATGGTTTTGAGTATGAAACGAAGAAGTCTGAACCCACACGTTTCGTGGTAAAATGTTAGGGAGCAAAAGAGGGATGCAAGTGGGGTTTAAGAGTTTATGTGCATATGAACTCAAATAGTTTCACTATTGTCACTTACAACAAGGTGCACACATGCTCTCGGATTACTACAAGTACAATCAGACAAAAAAAGAAAGGCACACCACACTTAGTTGCAGCTGTTTTGGCTGAAGACTATCCAGGTTGATTCGACACACCAGATCCAAAAATGCTGATCAATATGGTTCAAGGCAGGCTTGGCGTGAAAGTATCGTACTCGACAACGCTGAGAGGAAAAAATAAAGCTGCTAATGAGGTGCGGGGAAGTTCTGAGGAGAGTTATCGGTGGCTATATTCTTATTTGTACATGCTAGAGAAAGTGAATTCGGGTAGACGGACTTGTGTGGAATTAGATGAGCAGAAAAGGTTTAAGTACCTATTCTTTGCATTGGGAGCTTGTATAGAAGGGTTTCTATCGATGAGTAAAGTCATCATTATAGATGAAACCCACCTGAAGAACGTATATGGTGGAGTTCTAATCGTTGCTTCAGCTCAGGATCCTGATCATCATCATTATCCCATTGCTTTTGGTGTATTTGATGGTGAGAAAGATGCAAGTTGGACGTGGTTTTTGAATCAGTTGAAGTCAGTAACACTAGATGTCCCTGGAATGGTGTTTATTTTGGATAGGAATCCAAGCTTGATCAAGTCAATAAGGGAAGTGTTCCCTTTATCTCAACATAGGTAATGTGTAAGGCATTTGTCACAGAATGTGAAAGGACACGTTGCCACCCACAGAGATGCATGTGCGAAGAAGTTCATCGAGTGTGCTAAAGCTTATACAGAGGTTGAGTTTGGAAAACTCTATAGTGCTTTTAGGATGAAATATCCATCTTCTGCCAAGTATCTAGACAAAAGTGTTGATGAGAAAAAATGGGCAAGATGCTATTTTCCAGGAGAAAGGTACAACATAGATACCACCAATACTGTAGAATCTATCAATGGTGTTTTTGTAAACGCAAGAAAGTACTCGTTGTTGCCAATGATTGATGTAATTGTTGCCAAATTGGCTGAATGGTGGGATACCCATAGGCAGACTGCCGCTGAAGTCCCACTGTCATAGAAGCTTGTGCCTTTGGTGGAGAACGAAATGGATCTGAGATGCGTGGATGCAAAGAAACTCATGGTGCAAGAGTTAAACAGCTATCTCCATGAATACAATGTGATTGGGCTTGATGGGAAGAATTATTTGGTTGATATGACTAGGAAAACTTGTTCTTGCAAGTATTTTGATATAGACAGATACCCATGTGTGCATGCAATTGCTGCTGCCATCCATATGAGCAGAGATAGGGAACTTCATCTACAAGAGTTTTGCTCCAAATATTATTTGGTAGAACTATGGGCATTGGCATACTCCAGGACAATCTATCCAGTTCCTCATATGTCTGAATGGGTTGTACCTGAAGAGATACAAGCAGAAGAAGTCTTACCTCCGAAATATGAGTAAAGAAAGGAAAACCGCAACAGAAAAGATTCCCATCAGCTGGAGAACATCGTGGAAGAGGAAGAGGAAGAAGAGGAAGAGGTTGACGCTGGGCTCAATGGTTTGGGATTGATGGTAGTGAAGAGTAATTTATGTCTTTGTTTTAAATTATGTGAACTATGTGTGCAACTTTGTATGACCGAGACTTGTATGCATGTTATTTCTATCAGGTATGACTAGGCACCACTAATACAACTCTATATTCCATGTCTAATATGTCTGGTACGACTGGTGCGACTAGTACCACTTGTTTCAAGTACAACTAGTTCAACTACATTTTAGTTGTACTTAAGTTCAACTGGGAAAACCAGTACGACTATGCTTTCTACAAAAATGTCAATAACACAATTTGTAAATGTATTTGTAAACATATTTCCATATAAAATAGGCCATAGAACATGTGCAAACATATTTGAACATTTCATAGTTAAATAAATTTGATCCACAAAAATGTTTGATCCATGAAAATGTGTTGTCTACACAATCTACCTAATACTTTTATGGTTACTTTGTAAATCTTAACCACACAAACATGAAAACCATGAAAGTTTGTATTTTTATACTAGTTATAGCATTAGAATATTAGTTTATTTACTAAATTTTACAAGTACAACTAAAGATGTTTAATTTAGTGTATGATACTACTGATTACAAAATTTTACAACTTTATGTCTTTATGGTACAACTAAAAACTGGGTACAACTATGTTATAAAAAAAATTGGATTCAATTTTTGTTTTGACGGCGCAAGTTTGCAAAGATATTTATTTCCTCTTTTGTCGGTGCACGTGACTTCATATTTTATCAGTTTAAATTCATTTTAAACTTCCTGGCACACGTTTTTTTGCTGCCACACGTTTTTAAAATTCAGTTCTAGTTGGTCTAGTTCTGCTAGTCGTACCTTTTAATTCAACACATAAAAAAAGACTTGCATAAAATATATATGTCCAAATCTTGAAAAACACAAAGAAAAATTCTAACATAGCAGATAATGACACAACATAAGTTCAAAGGCCTAAGTTACTTAATAACAATCTTTCACCAAACGTGAACGAATCAACTTCCTTTTTTGCTTGGGAGTCTTACTCCTCTTCAGCTTCTTAATTAATTTCTTTACTGCTTGGGCTTGAAGACTAGGTCGTTTGTTGATTTTCACACTCCTAGGAGTTTGGACTGTATCGACATCGTCTCCACCTAACAAAAATAAACAAAAATCGATGAAACTCATTATATCAAAAATAAATCTCCAATGGTTTGGCTCATAAAGGAAAATAAATCTCCACTTAACAGCTAGAGCCTTCTCCACAGCCGTTAACACTATCTCCGCAGCTGCACTAGCCTCAGCTGCCACAGTCTCCACGGTCTCCGCAGCCTCCATCATCTCTGCAGCCTCAACTTTCTCCGCAGCTGCCGCAGCCGCAGCAGCCTCAGCCTTCTCCGCAGCTGCCGCAGCCGCAACAGCCTCAACCTTCTCCTTCTCTGCAGCTGCCGCAGCCTCCACCTCAGACTTCTCTGCAGCCTCAGCCTCAGCCTTCTCCTTCTCTGCAGCTGCCACAGCCGCAGCAGCCTCAGCCTCAGCCTTCTCCTTCTCCACAGCTGCCGCAGCCTCCGCCTCAGCCTTCTCCGCAGCCTCCTTCTCCGCCTTCTCCTTCTCTTCTGCCGCGGCTCTCTCCGCCTTCTCCTTCTCTTCAGCCGTGGCTCTCTCCGCCATCCCCCTCTCTACAGCCGCAGCAGCCTCCATCATCTCCCTCTCTTCAGCCGTTTTCTCTGTGACATAAAAAAAAAAAAATCAAATAAACTTCAACATTCAAAACAAAAAAAATTCTCAAAAATTGTTTCTTACCGAAATTATTATATCCACCATACTCAAAATCTGGAGGATTTCTTTGCTCTTCCACGAAGCTCTCCACAGCTACCAACCCTTGTATCCAAACCCTGAATCTTGTCTTTAATTTCCTTGAACCCTTCTTCCATTAAGTTCATCATCCTTTTCATTTGCTTGGCTATTGGCTCAATCACAGCTGCAGGTTCTTGTTCAGCTGGCTCACCTTCGTTTTGGACATCTTCTTCTTGGACATTTTCTTTTTCGACAACTCGGGATTGAACATCGGCCATGAAGACATCCTCCCACAGTATCTTCCCTTGTTGGCGGATTATAAACTTGTTCCACCCATCAACAATAGGGTCAGCTACATCTGAATCATCCTTCAGTTCAAAGTCCTGCCACTGTGTCTCTTCCATGACCCTCTCTATGAGATCTAATTCCTCACCCTCAGCAGTCAAAATACTAGTAATGTCCTGAAGTATAACGGAAAAAAATTAAACCGATTTAGTGTACTGCTGTCAAACTAGTACGACTAGTACAATTACTAGGCCAACTATTGTCAAACTAGTACGACTAGTACGAATACTAGGCCAACTACTGTCAAACTAGGCTAACTATTACGATTACTAGGCCAACTACTGTCAAACTAGTACGACTAGTACGAATACTAGGCCAACTACTGCCAAACTAGTACGACTAGTACGATTACAATTGAACCCAACAAATATCTTTGTATAACAAAAAGTAAAATACCTTTGTATCTCCAAGATGCTCATTTATTGAACCCAACGAATATCCAGTTGTGCCAGTCTGCGTGAACTCCCATTTGCACATTCTTGGACAATCATCTTCTGCATTTGTTACTTTCACCCGAAATTGTATCTTCGGGATTGGAATACATTCAAACGCCAAAATCTGCACATATAATTAGACCAATTAAACTAGTTGTACTATTCGGACTAGTTGTATTATTAAGAAAATACGACTTACTTCCAAAGGGTTGAGGAACCCAGGAAACGTCCAACTCGCTTTCTCTAGGATCGATCCTTTGAAATGCTTCCCCCATATGATAAATCTCTTTGATGTTGTCATCGAAAGTAAACCGTCCCCACGGGAATGTCTCACACAGCTTGAGACTATCAACCATCCTCAGAATGAAAGGCTCTATGGCTACTCCATGCTCTGATCTCCCTCTTATCACTGTCACCAAGAAGTACAAGACAACTATCCTTAGCCGATTCCTCGTGTCATTATACCTCATCCCCTGAAGTGCTTTTAGCACAACTTCAGCTGTAATTTTTTTCATCTTTAAAATGGTTCTTAGCAAACCTCATGCCACCTAACTTCGGGTAATTGGCTGGGTACTCGTGGCAGTACAGTCTCAAGAGGAGAGCATGCTCTCTGATGGAGTATCTAATGGGCACTCCATTTACCACAAACCAAGTCTGTCTATCCTTCTCCGTTTGTACCGTGCGTAGAAGCAACATCCACAGCCCCATCACCTTTCTTGTTGCATAAGTCTTCATGTGAAACAGGTGCTTGAACTGCGGGTGGTTCAGAAACCAATTCTTCTCATCCTCTTCGAAAGTTGGAAATACTTCCTCCTTAAATTTGTGTTGCAAGCATTTGGTACATAGCTTACATCCCTTTCGATATTCGGTGAGATTGAAGAAATATCCGAGAGGCCGCATTGGTTCTTCTACATCATCATCATCATGCTGCAAAAATAAGAAAACCGATTTAGTATACTGCTGTCAAACTAGTACGACTAGTACGATTACTAGGCCAACTACTGTCAAACTACTATGACTATTACGAATACTAGGCCAACCATTATGATTACTACGCCAACTAGTGTCAAACTAGTACGACTAGTACGATTAATATGACTACAATCTAGTACGACTAGTTGACCTACTCATAATACTCAGACTCGACATTTCAGGAAATCCAATTATACTAGTTCAAATAATTACATTAGTTATAATAACCGTTCTAGTTGAACTACTCATACTAGTCGGACTAGTTGGACCCAATTATACAACAAATTTAGGGTTTACCAGTGGTGGTGGTGGTTGCGATGACGAACCGATTGCCGGTTCCGAAATCGAAGGCCGACCGGTTGCCGGTTGCACCGCCGGAGCCACAAAAGTTTCTTCTTCTCTTTCAGTCACCAGAGGCAGACTTTCTTCTGCTGGTTCAGTCATCGGAGCCACCGGAGGCGGAGCACTGGATTTTGACTTCCGCGACTTCTTCTATTTTCCTCGCGGTGCCTCCAGACGCTTCTCCCCCCTTTCTTTTCTTCTTCGCCGGCGGATTTGAACTCGACGGCAGCGGATTTTCTTCTTCTCCTTCAGTCACCGGACCCACCGGAGGCGGAGGCGGAGCACTAGAAGTTTCGTCTGTTGATTTCGATTTCTTCTTCGGCTTCTTCTCTTTTCCTTGCAGTGCTGCAGGACGCTTCTCCACCTCTGTTTTCTTCTTCGCCGGCGGATTTGAACTCGACGGCGGCGGCGGCGATGAAGTATGATCCGGCGAAGGCGTTTTCAACCGAAACCCTTTCGTAAGCACTATGAGATCGATAAATTAGAGATTTTATCGGATTTTTGATTGGTGGTTTGGGTTCTCGGAGAAGATGAAAAGTGGAAATTGATGGTTTCTCGGAGAAGATGAAAAGTTGTAAAAGTTAGCGGTTTGATCGAAAAGTTAGGGATTTGAAAGTTGTTTTTCGTTTAGGTTTGGACTGGATTTAGATTTAAATTTGATCTGGGTTTAGATTTAGGTTTGGGTTAGAACCTAATAGCTATTATTTGGTTGATTTGTAATTTAAAAGATTTCGGATATCCTTCATCGTTATTTCACGTATTTTTGTTTAAAACAAAAATCAAAAAGAAATAAAATGTTATAACATGGGCAAATCAGATATCTGCTTGTACGGAGGGTACAAAAAAAACTAAATCAAATCTTCTCGGTCCAAAATCAAATCTTCCAGCTCGATCTCTACCTTGATCTCTACCTCGATCTTCCGTTTTCAGAAATTTCTCACTAAAAAACCTCTTCGATCGAAAACGATTTCACAAACACACTTATTCATCTCGTTTCATCTCCATTTCCTTTGAAATCAGTTTGGGTTCACTCAAATTGATCGAAGATTTCATCTCCAAAATCGTCGGATCTTCTTCGTCACTCAAATTCCTCAAAGAAGAAGATTAGTAATTCTGAGATTTCCTAAGGTTCTCTTCTGTTTCTGATTGATGAATGCATCGAAGAGTTTATGATTTGTGATTACTTTTTTGCAAAGAGTTCCCGGTGACAAGTCTCAATTCCGGAGACGGCGCAAATCTCAGCACGATACGCTACTATCACATTAGAGGTAAGCTTTCACAATTCTAGAATCACCTTCTTTGAACTGGATTTGATAATGCTTTGAACTGGATTTGATAATGGTTTGTGAGATTTATGCTGTTTTGCTACTGGTTTCTAATCGATTTATTATATTCTGCTTCTGGTGAACTGTAAATGTGTTAGATAATTGCTTTCTCTGCTCGTTAATTAGATCTGATTCTATATAACACATTTCTATGTGAACCAAATTATATATGTTTCACCAAATAGTATAAAAATCTAAATATAACAAAAACTACTGAACATTATCACTGTTTTATGAAAGTTATAGACTTCATCTATATGTATGTGCTTTGAAAATATTATTACTGATTTCGAGCTTTTTTTGTTTGTGTGTGGATATGGTAAACTAATTTATTTCGTTATCAATCATCTAGTATCAACAATGACCAGGTAACAAAATCACTTCTGTGTTTTACCATGAATTTCTGTTTCTGCTGATTACTAGAATTCATAGATTGAAAATTTCGAGTAGTGGAAAACTGTTTCGTGAATTCATTCCTCGCTTAGATGATCGTTGCTTTTGATAATCTCAGCTCAAATTAGGTCGTCGAGTAAAAAACTGCAATAGCTTGAGACAGTCATGGTTTTTTTCACAATAGTTTGTATTAGCCTTCTGCGTTTTTTGATACATATTTTATGCGTAACACTTTGTTCTTTATTTACAATTTTAGGAAAGTGGCATTTCAAAAACTGGAATTTGAAGTTCTTTAAAAAACTGGTATATTCTTCTTTTCTTTCATTTAAATGAACTAGAAAGTACTTTGATCGAAAGACATAGATTTGAGGACTTAAGACATAGACATAGTTTCTGTCTTGGTTAGAGAATCTTGGCTAGAGAAGATTATGCTATGCTCTGTTTTTAATTTAGAGTTCTGTTTTTGGTTGCTAATTATGCCATGTTCTGTTTTTGATTGCTGATTATGCCATGTTCTGTTTTTGGTTGCTGAATATGCCATGTTTCTGTGTTTTTAATGTCAGGTTGTTCTTGTTTCTCGACCAATTATGTTCAGATTGTTGCTGCTGTTTAGAAGAAGTTCTTGTTTTTCTTCAACGTATACTAGTTGCTTTTGATGTAATTTGACTCTTATTATAGTACTATATGTATCAACTTTTATTACATAAAACTTGTTTATCAAAGAAATGTTACCAATTTGATTATATATCTTGTAAATTTTATTTTATTGCAGTTCTAGTTGATTTAGCTAATTGATGCTAGTTTAAATGATGCTAGTTAAATGACTCTAAAATATAGAAAATTTAGAGTGATTTTTGTAAATAATGCCAAAGATGGAAAACTTGGCATGATTTGTATAAATGATGCTAACAACTTTAGCATCATGCGATGTTAAGTCACTTTACTAAGTGACACCAAGTTATTAGAATTAGTCTTTAATTGACGCTAACCAAAAATAACCGACGTTAAATCACTTTTTTTTTGTATTGTAGTGATACGTTCACAAGTATGAATCTTGTTTACAACGAACCCAACTCTATTTCATTTACTTCCCTAAGAGAGATATGGTTGCATACTCTAAATTTCTAATTTTCTAATATACATATATATACTCCCATTTCTTTAGTGATAAGATATCAGAAATGAACAGAGAGAAATTAAAGACAATCAGAGTCAACAACTAACCGGCGAGAGTTTGGGGACAGCGGCAACCATAACTACGGAAGAGTTGACAAAGACACCGGCAGCGATGAGCTAGACTTTTTATGTTTGTGATCGCTCGAGATTTTACAACAAAGAAAATTACTTCCTTTTTACAGGAACAAGAAAATTATATAGATGTTAAAAAAGTATACATAAAATTGTCTTATTTATTATTATAAAAATATTTGATTTGGTAGTGCACTGCACTATACTGTATATATAATTAGAAGTAGTTACAGATGTCTAAGTTTCTCTTTAATCAAATATGTAAAAATATATATCCTCAATTAGAATGATAGGTGTGAGATGTATTACCTAAACAGAATTAGATAATATATTTGTACATCTTATTACTTGTTAGATATTTTTATTACATAAAATTTATTGCTTTTTAAATTATAACAAAGATCTTCCATGTAGTACAAAATTACTTTTATTTAGATTTTTAGTCCAAAAATACAGGCATTGGATCCATCTTCACATGCATGTCTCTTTTGTTTAGATTCTTCATTTTTAGCCCCAAATATTTTTTATATCTTGACCAAAATGATTACTAATTTAGTTTCTGGATTGATTTGAAATAAGCAATCTATTTCAATATTGGGTTAAATTCGTATCAGGTGGCACAGAGTCACAATCACAATAGCAGATCTTATAACTGATCCTGTATGAGTTCGGACATATGATTTGATAATTCTTGTTCTCCCAATTTGAATCTAACAGGAAATTTGGTTTGAGGTTTTGGCTAATATTTAAAATTTCGAACTAATATGGTTGGAAATTGTGAAAACTCAAATTCGGTCTATAGAAAAATGAGAGTTTGTGGGTTTAAAGAGAGATCTTTATTAAGTTTCAGCCATAGCTCGAGAGATACACGGTCGTTTAGGTCGTCGGAATAAGAACACCGACTTAAACTGTTTATGGAAATAAAATCAAGAACTAGGAACAATAAGATTACTTAGTTTGTCCTAGGTCTCGAGAGACGATTTTTGGATGATGATCTAGAAACAGCTGAACCTTGAGAAAGGCTGCCTACGTACCCTTTTGAAGGGATCAAGCCAATCGTAGTTTATAATAAGGGAGTTAGATAGATGAAATCTAGAGAGAATAAGGTCTTCTCTAAGTGTGGAGATTCTTGGATGATTATCCGATGTTCTGAGAAGTGAATAACTTCTTTATTTATAGCCCGACAAGGTCGGTCTTCTGAAGATACCTTCTCCTGTTGAAATAGGAAAACTTCCTTCTTGATAAGGTCGACCTTGCGTTTTCTCCGGAACTTGATCAGATAAATAGAAGATTTTCATTTATCTTGCCGACCTAAATATTCTTTAGGGTTTTGGAATGGGCCTATCTCAATTGATGTAGGGATTTGAGGGGGTACAAAATCCATCTCTAACAGTTAGTCCCCCCCCCCCCCCCCCCCCCCCCCCCCCCCCCCCCGGCAAGCGAATGGGTATTGAGCTTGGTGAATTAGAAGAGACAGTTCGGAATGAATTGAGATCGGACCATTCCAAGAGTTAGAAAAAATGAAGCATCACTTCTCTGAGATTTTCAGGTCGGCCATTTGATGGTGTATAGTTTTCGAGATTGGTGCGTAGAGTGAAGTTTGCCGAGCTGAAGCAAAGTATACCGAGCTAAGGAACTCGGCTTGATATATACTCGGGTGAAGTTTGCGAGACTATGCTCGGCTCAATCTATGATATAATTGCGAGGTGTGCTTGACTTTTGTTAGAGTCGAATACGAACGTGCGATGCGATATCGGCTTTAAATTGTTCGTATGACTTAATATTTCTAAGTCTGAATGTAAACCAGCGAGATGAGGTCGGCTTTATTTGTTTACATGACTTAGAAATTTTCCAAAAGTCGAATGCAAGGTGCGATCAGGTCGGCTTAATAGTTTTGCATGACTTAGGAATGCGGAACAGGTTCCGACTTAATGGAAGTGTGAATACAAACGTGCGAGAGGCTCGACTTACATTTGTTTGTACCACTTAATTTCTAAGTGTGAATACTAATATGCGAATCAGGTCGACGTTTTTCTATTAGTACCACTTAGAAATATCCAGATCGAATATAAAGTGCGAGACTGGCTCGGCTTACTACTATTATATGACTTGGACTTTGCGAAATAGATCGGCTTATATGCAGGTTGACTGCAGCGTTTGTACGCGTGCAAGACGGGTCTTGGCTTTTTAGTTTGCCGAGCTAAGTAGATCAGACTTAGCTATAGGCGTATCGAACGTTTGGCCAGAACGTCGATGTGTAGACAGTTGGTAGATGAGTTGTCAAACAGTGTCCATAGGTCGGCTTGAATTGCGATCAGATGTTAGATCGACGTATTTCGACCATGTGAGGTTGGCTCGGATTGCGGTCAGATGTTAGATCGGTTTTATTTGCGACCATGTGAGATCGGCTTGGAAAAGCAAAGTAGATCGTTGCTGAAACGGAAGAGCTGATAGGCTGATCTGATAATGAATGAGCTGATAGGCCGACCTGATAATAGAAGAGCTGATAGGCCGACCTGATAATAGATGAGCTGATAGGCCGACCTGATAATAAATGAGTTGATAGGCCGATCTGATAACGGATGAGCTGATAGGCTGACCTGATAATGGAAGAGCTGATAGGCCGACCTGATAACGGATGAGCTGATATGTGAGAACGATGAGCTGGAAGATCGACGATCAGACGAGCTGAGATTGAAGACCGACGACCTCAGATGTAAAATTGACGACCTAATGACCTGGGAAGCTGAGGTTGAAGAACGACGATCTCAGATGTGAGATCGACGACCTGCGAGCTGTGAAGCTTAGATTGAAGAACGACGATCTCAGATGTGAGATCGACGACCTGACGAGCTGTGAAGCTGAGATTGAAGACCGACGACCTCAAATGTGAGATCGACGACCTGACAAGCTGAGATTGAAGACCGACGATCTCAGATGTGAGATCGACGACCTGGCGAGCTATGAATCAGAGATTAAAGACCGACGACCTCATATGTGAGATCGACGACCTGACGAGCTGTGAAGCTGAGATTGAAGACCGACGATCTCAAATGTGAGATCGACGACCTGACAAGCTGAGATTGAAGACCGACGACCTCAGATGTGAGATCGACGACCTGGCGAGCTACTTAAACTAACGAATTGTTTAAGCAGACGAGCTGTTGGAAGAGCTCATCTAATGGAGAGCTGAGCACGGGCGAATCCAAGAAGACGACCTGAAGGGGTCTTAAAGCCACAGTCTGATTTAAAGATGACAGTATGAAGCAAGTTGATGACCCCGATCTGATTGCAAGATGCAGAGCCCGATCTGATTGCAAGATGCAGAGCCCGATCTGGTTTCAAGATGGAGACATCGATCTGAAGCGAGCGTTTTCAAGTGGACGAGCTGAAGCACCTATCTTGAAAAAGATGAGCTTAAACGAATGTTTTGAAGGAGACGAACTGAAGTCAATGTCTTTTCAAGGATGATTTGTGTCATTGAAGTCTTTTCAGGGACGAGCTGCGAGGGCAATGAGCTGCGAAGGCGACGAGCTGCGAGAGAAACGAGCTGCAAGGGCGATGAGCTGCGAGAGAAACGAGCTGCGATGAGGACGGGCTGCAAGGGCAACGAGCTGCGGTGTTATCTTCGGTGAGACCGGTGGTATTATGATCGATGGATGGCGTTTCGATCATCTTCGAGCTCCGGTTCTTTTAAAGATTTAGTTTTTTATTCCCCACAGACGGCGCCAACTGTGAAAACTCAAATTCGGTCTATAGAAGAATGAGAGTTTGTGGGTTTAAAGAGAGATCTTTATTAAGTTTCAGCCAGAGCTCGAGAGATACACGGTCGTTTAGGTCATCGGAATAAGAACACCGACCTAAACTGTTTATGGAAATAAAATCAAGAACTAGGAACAATAAGATTACTTAGTTTGCCCTAGGTCTCGAGAGACGATTTTTGGATGATGATCTAGAAACAGCTGAACCTTGAGAAAGGCTGCCTACATACCCTTTTGAAGGGATCAAGCCAATCGTAGTTCATAATAAGGGAGTTAGATAGATGAAATCTAGAGAGAATAAGGTCTTCTCTAAGTGTGGAGATTCTTGGATGATTATCCGATGTTCTGAGAAGTGAATGACTTCTTTATTTATAGCCCGACAAGGTCAGTCTTCTGAAGATACCTTCTCCTGTTGAAATAGGAAAACTTCCTTCTTGATAAGGCCGACCTTGCGTTTTCTCCGGAACTTGATCAGATAAATAGAAGATTTTCATTTATCTTGCCGACCTAAATATTCTTTAGGGTTTTGGAATGGGTCTATCTCAATTGATGTAGGGATTTGAGAGGGTACGAAATCCATCTCTAACACCTCTAACAGAAATGACTAAAGAACAATTAAAAAGTGTATCCTCTTTAATAAGAAAATCATTATGACAACGCTTGGCGCCAGTTCAACCAGTTCTAGATCATATACAAGTCTTGGTCATGACTACAATAGCTCCATTATAACAAAGATATTACCAAGCGGTTTTAAGCTTTCACGAAGATAAATATTTGAATGGAATTTATTTTCGTAAGAATCTTCTATATCGCTATCCACCATTGCAAAATCTAGATTGGTCTTGGGAAATATTAAGAAAATGTAACATAGCCTGTCGGACCGGCTCGACCGTGTGAATTAAAGAACTACCCGATTTTCTTCACAGAAAATAGATATTGGAAAAACCATAATAAACTCATACCAAAACCGGTTAATATATATATATATATATATATATATATATATATATTTCTATAATATTTCTTGATATTTCTTGAACAGATAAACTTATAATAAAGACTACAAAGGAAAATTCAAAAGGATCGATGATCTCAGCAACGTAACATTCAATGAAAACTAGGATATTAATCTTTGTAACAAAATTAATTTCACATGTACATATCATTTCTATATTTATACTTCAACTCTCTTGTTTCACTAACATTCAAAATTTTCTAATTGTCAATATTTCTGAAGTTTTATATAGATGTCAAAGCGTGATTTTATATATATATTGAGAGTTGCTAACATCAACTAATTATTTTTAAAAAAAATAATATATATATATATATATATATACTAAATTGGAACCCACGTATATGCTGGTTTATAATAATAAAATGGAATCATTAATGAAAAAAATATATTAAAACAAAAAATCAAAATCTAACACTTATATATATTAATTCTCATTTGATTTCAATTAAAATATTCAAAACACAAAATCGGTTGCAGATCATAAGCAAAATTAATCCTATTTCTTTTGTAGTCAAACATTTTATTAACTAATTTATTTTTCTATTTTGCTGTATTAAAAACTTAGGTATAAATTTCAAGTCCTTTGAATATGTTAACACTCTCCCGATTAACTCTTTCCAAATACACAAAGTTTTTTTTCTTCTTCACATTCTTATCTTGTTTATGATCTATGTGTTTTTTAGGGAAGTTATGCTTCTTAAGACTCCGATCAAAAGATTTTGATTTTCTATATGATTTTCGCTGATCACCCTCTTTATTCAGCTCATCATCGTCCAATGCCATATCATTAACATCTAAGATTTTCTTTTCTTATAATCATAGGTTGCAAAATTTGCATGTAATTTATTTTAGAATTTTCTAATTATTGAATTCTAAAAATACTTTAGATGAATATAATATTTAGCAAACAAATCATAAAATAAAAACTTGGAATATCAAACGAATCATAAAGAATTGATATACCGTATGATGTACTTTAATAATAATAATACAATAAAATAAAGAAAATTATACATATATGATAAAACTCAAGAAGTGTTTTATTTTGTTTAGTAAAAAAATTATGAAAGACTTTATGTGTTTATGTAGATGTGGGTAGTATTTGAATTTGAAAATCTACTACATATCATAATCATATGAATTACTAACTTTGATGCATTCAACTTTATATAATAAGATATATCTACAAGTATATATTTTTACATATGTTTAGGTAATAATATCCTAATGAACCAAGACTATAGTAGAACTAGAACACCGGTCTTTCTGGAAAAAAAAAAAACATGTTTAGGTATTTCAAATTGTGAGTTGGAGTGTGCTGTTTCTGAATTTTAAAAAGAAGACTATAGTAGTTGGAGGAATATGGACAGACTGATATCTCGATAGAAAGATCAAACAGGTAAGAACGTAACGTAATGAACATATGCGCATGGTAGCGTTTTCATGCACCGACTTATTGACCACTGACTTAGTCAATCACTAGCCGATTTCACATTATTCGTCATTTGAATAATTTCACATTTTTTATCGCTAAGAAAAAAACAATACCCTGGAGTATTATATATCTTGTTAGATCTAACGAGGTTATACACATAACATATAATATATATTTTTTTCTTTACGTAATCCGTTTCCTTTTTTAACGAATCAGAGTATCTTCAATCTAATCTGCTACCAAATTATCCAAATATCTATAAAATGCGGATATTTTACATCTCCATTATTGCATATAGAACGTTAAATTGTGATTATATAAATCTTACTAACCGGATTTCATCATATAAAGGATTGAAACAGGTCACTATAATATTTTGCCCAACTTGATTGTATGCATTTTCACACCTCGTATTTAAAGAATTTATTTTAGAAAACCCAACCCTCAAACCAAAGAATAAGTTTAAAGTTTAAACCCCAAACAAATTTTCTTTTCCTCTTTCCGCATTAGTTGTCAATTTTATCATTCAAGTTTTTCAAACATTCAACGGTCAAATTTTCCGATTCTTAAGTCCCTAACAGCTAGCGAATAATATGACATAAACAAAAAAACCTTCTCCATTATTCTCATTATTATTTTCCTCGTTATATTTCTTTTCTCTTTTACCCGAAATTAACTTTGACCCACTCGCGTTTCCAGAAACCTATGACTAACCATTTTATTATTTATCCACCTAAAATGTTTACATTACAAAACAAAACATATATAAATCTCTTCCCCACTTGTCTCCTTTAGTTTAAAACAGTCAAAGAAACTCTTCACAAGAACCAAACCAACACAATCTATTGTAATGGGGCTTTCTTTTAGAGTAAGACGGCGAGGAGGAAACAAGAAAGAAATACCACCAGTTCCGGCGATTTCTTCCTCGGAGGAGGAAGAGATAACGATTCCGTCGCAGTTTCAGTGTCCGATTTCGTACGATCTAATGAAAGATCCGGTGATTATCGCCTCCGGGATCACTTACGACCGAGGAAACATCGAGAAATGGTTCGAGTCAGGGAACCAAACGTGTCCCGTGACTAACACGGTTCTCACCAATTTCGAACAGATTCCGAACCATACGATTCGAAGGATGATTCAAGAATGGTGGCGCGTGGCTAAAGGTTCGTCGTTGGATCGTATTCCGACGCCACGTGTCCCCGTTACGAGCCATCAAGTCGTCGAGATTTCCGGGAAGTTGTTGTCTGCGACGCGGCGTGAGGATCACGTGGTGTGTTGGGAGATGGTCAAGAAGATGAAGAGGCTGGGGAAAGAGAGTGAGAGGAACAAGAAATGTTTGAACGAAAACGGCGTCGGGTTTGTTCTTTGCGTTTGTTTCGACGCGTTTTCAAAAAACGCGAACGCGACGGGGTTGTTGGAGGATGTTTTGTTTTTGCTGACGTGGATGTTTCCTGTTGGGTTAGAAGGTCAGAAGAAATTAACTTCTGCGACGTCGTTTAGTTGTTTAGTTGGGTTTCTGAGAAGCGGAGATCAAAACGCTGCGTTTTTGGTGAAGGAGCTTTTATCTCTCGACGAAGCAAACGTTCACACGTTGGCCGCGATTAATGGCGTTGAAGAAGCGTTGGTGAGATCGATTCGCGATTCTGTTTCGTTAATTTCGATCTTCTATATGATCTCGGTTAAACCGGAGATAACCTCGAGATTTCTGGGATTGGATCTGGTTAATCAAACGGTGGAGATGCTTGTTGATTCGGAGAATAGCGTTTGCGAGAAAGCATTATTGGTTCTAGACGCGATTTGCGAGAGTAAAGAAGGGAGAAGAGAGATTAGAGGGAACGAATTAGTGATGCCGATTCTGGTGAAGAAGGTTCTGAAGATTTCTGAGTTTGCGAAGAAGAGTTTGGTTTCGGTGATGTGGAAGATTTGTAAAACTGGAGATGGATCTGAGGTTGAAGAAGCGTTGCGATTAGGTGCGTTTAAGAAGCTTGTTGTGATGTTACAGGTGGGATGTGGAGAAGGGACGAAGGAGAAAGTTACAGAGTTGTTGAAGATGATGAATAAACAGATGAAGATGATTGGATTTGTTGATCGTTCTGATTCTTCAATTGAGTTTAAGCATTTAAAGAAACCATTTTAAATCAGAAAAATACAGTTGTATAGAGGGAAAAAAAAAACATTTTATCCAAATTATAGACAATTTTGTTTCAAGGATTAAAAGAGCAAAAAAAAAAGTTATCAAATTTTCAAACCAGACAAAAAGATTGATTTATCTACACACCAAAAAATGGTTTACAACATGAACTGTCCACTAAGGAAACTCTCTGAAGGGAACATCATTCCATGACATCTCTCATCATCTCCAAAGTAATCATCAGCTGCTTCAATTAGTAACATCTGATCTTGATTAGGAAACTCATACTTTGGCTGCAAAACTTTCCTTTGTTGCTCAGCAAACTCTTCACAGCAATTAGAACAAACATAAAGTGGAGGCAAAGTATTAGAATCATCAATCCCACAGCATCTTGTATGTTGCCAAACTTCACAAACATCACAAGATATCATCCTCTCTCCATCATCATCTTTAGCTCTGCAAACACATTTCACCATCCACGTATCACACCCACCTTGAAACTTCAGCTTCGATTCCAAATCAATCCCGAATCCTCTCACTGTAATTGCAGAACAAGGCTCGAGCTTACCAAGAAGTAACTCCCTATCATCATCATCTTCTCCCTTAACCTCATCGATCTCATTCACCACAAAGTTTGTCAAGATGCAGTAAGTATCTCTGAATGTGTCTTCAATGGCTTGCTTTAGATCAAAGACTGTAGCTTGTAGTGAGACTGTGACTAACTCACCTGGAGGCAACTCTGTGATCTGTTCTGTTCTCAGATCAATCAAACTTGGATCGATACGACAGACAAACCTCAAGATTCTGTCATTGTTGTCCCATAAAGGCCACTCTTTTACGAACTGTTTACTGTCTAGGATCGCTTGAGTTGCAGATCTTACTGATTCAGCTTCTGGGTAATTCAAGAGAACATAAGTGTATAGCATCACTAGATCTCCATGAACATCAGCTCCAGGTTTGGATGATTCAGTGACAACCCTCAAAGGAATTAGATCAAGCACAGGCTCCTTCTTCGGTTCTATAAGCTTCGTCTCATCATCAAGCTCCTGTATTGTGTAATGCAGTATCCGTGTACGAGGATCCACGTAACGCCTAACCAAGATGTTCCCAACAACGACATTGTTCATCGATTTCAGCACGTAATCTAATAAACCCGTATCTCCAATGTTCAATCTAGCTGCATCCCTGACATCTTGCCGAGTCATACCGTTCTTCTTCACTGCTTTCATCTCTTTCAGTGACTCTACAATCACTTCAGCTGCGTACTCAAGTCTTCTCACAGGCCATCTACTTCCCAAATTAGCTGCCACAGTGGCGTAACTCTTATATCCCTGAGACTTCTCATTCTCCAGAACATCACTCTTTTTCAAGAACAATCGGTTTGATCTTTTCTTATGAGGAGAATCCGTTGAGAAAGGAGGAGGAGGAGCCGCGTGAAGCTTATGAGGAGCATGAGACTTGATGATAAGCATAAACCGCAAGAGGTCTCTGAATGTCTTCAAATTCCCTTCACTCATTTCTCGGTAATACCTGAAAATCTTCTTGATCTCATTGAATTGTGTATGCTCACTGAAATCAAACTCAATCTGATCAATCTCAAGAGAACCAAGAAGCTCTATAGCATTCTCGTAATCATTCCTCGTCACACCGTAGCTTCCACGACAGAAATTGTATCCCCATCTCCCAAACCACGAGTGTCCGTACGCAACTCCGTGTAACAAACGAAGATCCAGAGATCTCTTCTTAGACAAATCCTCAACTGTTATCATCCTGCAAGGAACACATACTTTCAATCTCAAATCATGAGAAACCAACAAGCACAATAAGGATAACGAACCTTGCTCCGAGGTTAGTGCAAATCCGATCCCAAAGGTCGACAATTTCTCTTCCGCACAAGTATTTAGAACCTCCTTCGAGACCATTGACGCAGATCAAATGACCAAACCCATTAGTGTGAATCAGTCCATGTAGAAGATGAGTTTGTAGATCGAATACATCATCTTCTAAATGCATATTCCACTCAGTATCATTCGGTATTATGAAATGGTATTTCCTTTTAGATACAAAGTGATTACTCCATCCTGTATATAAACAATAATCACAGTTTAATCAATCGTTAATCATCGCTACAGAGAGATATAATTAGCAAAATACACAATTTCGTCATCATTAGATCTAAAACCATATACCCAGAATCTCGAATTTAACAACAAATCGTAAACAAACACCATATACGGATCTGATTTAAGCCCAGACACGATTAATTAAACGCTGAATAAGAACTTCCGAATCGGATTTTCCGTAATCGGAAACTAGAAAACGATTAAACTCATCTGTGAAACCAAATAGTCAGAATCTCTACACCCAATTCGTACAATCTCCTCAAACGCCAAATACGAGTTGATTAAACCTAAATTTAGAAGTTCCGAATCCAATTTCCATAACGATTAAGCTCAAAATCTGGAAAAAGGCGAAAGAACCTGTGCATCTGCAATGATCGCAGTACGGTTCCGAGGATCTAACGACGTCTTCTTCGACTGTATAAAGCGGAATCACAGAGTTCTTCGTCTCGTGATTGAGAAGCGTACACCATACAGGCATCCCACGGATGTTGTACTCTTCAACCTCCGCGAAATCCCGGAGAAAACCCCTAATGTTATCCCGGAAAGTTCCGTTCCGGTTAACCGGGAACTCTTCTTCTCCAAATCGTTGCAGATTATAAAGCTTCGGCTTCCTCTTTCTCTTCCGGCAAGTCTCGATTATCGGAACCGGCATCGTTTCGGAAGCAAAATTTCGTAAGTCTATGATCTCGATCTCGATCTCACACTAGGGTTTCGGAGATTTCACTATCAACAGAGACGAAGATTGATCTCTCTCTCTCTCTCTCTCTCTCTCTCTCTCTCTGGAATTTAGGCGCTACAATTTGAAACGAAGCGAGATGAAATCTGAAAAAATACCCTCGAGACTGATCAGTATCTACGTGAGTGCCATTGAGCTTGTTATCACCTCGTCAGGATCTAACGGTTAAAAATCGAGGTTTGTTATTAGATGCATCTCGGCCGTAGATTTTTGTAACTGTAAGTTGGTTATGGTTGTTAACCTCCTTAGATGCGTTGACCTCAAAGTCAGTCAACAGCATAATGAGAAGTGAGAACCCAAAAAAATAAACAAGATTTGAGTGCTTTAAGTCAAATATATAGATTTACTAAATTTGTCAACATTGTAACCAAACTTTACTTTACAAAATTAATTTAAATTCATTGAATCAATGTATGTGTGGTTTTTAGATTTTGTTTTTTTGTTTGTTTTTGAATCAATGAATCAATACAACAAAAACACAAGTGTTTCTCCTAGTGAAGACACATCAGCATTTTGGAGCTTTATGAAGATGATACTTCAACAAAAAAAATCATCAATCAAATTAAAACATTAATACACATCACTCATTTCATTTATTTTCTATTTCATTTATAAAAGCCCAAAAGATAAAATAAACATACCCATCTCTATAAACCTAACTAAACCAACACTAAAGTGTGATTAACAAATTATGGAGCATGTAGCACAAGATGTAGACCACTGGAGGTGTGTGCGATTATATTTAAACAGAACATTAAAATCACTGCACTAAACGTATTTTATTTAATCAACAAAAACACAAGTGTCTCTCCTGGTGAAGACACATCAGCATTTTAGAGCTTTATGAAGATGACATTTCAGCAAAAAAAATTATCAATCAAATTAAAACATTAATACACATCACTCATTTCATTTATCTTCCATTTCATTTATAAAAGCCCAAAAGATAAAATAAACATACCCATCTCTATAAACTTAATTAAACCAACACTAAAGTGTGATTAACAAATTATGGAGCATGTAGCACAAGATGTAGACCACTGGAGGTGTGTGCGATTATATTTAAACAGAACATTAAAATCACTGCACTAAACGTATTTCATTTAATCAAATTTTATATTCATTGTATATCAAAGCAGAGTTTTAGTTTTAATCACACCTTTGCTCAACTCTTAATCACCGATGACGATGCTAGGGTTTAGGAAGGATCACGATCGGAGCAGTCGGCGAAGCTTAACAGTTTATTTTCTTTACAACAATAACACCGGTCTTCACCAATAATAACACCGGCTCGGTCTTCACCAACAATAACAGCAATGTCTTGAGATGACATCTCAGCATTTTGGAGCTTTCTGAAGATGACATCTCAGCAAAAATATTCGCCAATCAAAATATTTTATTAATACAACTTATCTACTTATTTTAACTTTTAAACTTAAATTCATTAAAAACCTAAATACTTTTTCTATTAATCTTTGTTTTATTTTTTACCAAACTCAAGCCCAAATAACTAATAACAGTAAATAAAACAAAATATTTATTTTATTTTTTGCTAGACTCAAGCCCAAATAATAAATAACAACAAATAAAAAAAAATCTTTGTTTTTGATGGGCAACATAATTTTCTGTTTTTGATGGATAACGCGATTTTTTGGGTTTCGCACGAAAATACAATTTCAAAATTTTTTGCGAAAAAATGCAATTTGATGATTTTGGCGGAAAATACAATTTCTCAGCTTTTTTAGAAAAACACGATTTCTCGGTTCGACGAGAAAATAATTTTTCTTGGCTTTGGCGGGAATAGAGAATTTCTCTGTTTTGCCGGAAATAGAGGATTTCTTGGTTTCGGAAGGAAAATGTGAATTCCAGTTTTGGTAAAAAAACATAATTTCTCGGTTATGGTGGAAAAAAGCGAATTCTCGGATTTTGGCGAGAAAATGTGAATTTTTGGTTTTTGTGAGAAAACAAAAAAAATTGATTTTGACGGAAAAATAAAATATCTTAGTTTAGACGGGAAAATGCTCGGTTTTGATGAGAAATGCAACTTTTCAATTTTGACAAAAATGCGATTTCTCAGTTTTAATAGGAAATGGAAATTTTGGCTTTTGACGGATAATACGATTTCTTGGTTTTCGTGCAAAAATGTGATTTTTTAGTTTTCGCGAAAAAATTAGAATTTGACGATTTTTGCGGAAAATGCAATTTCTCGGTTTGATGAAAAAACAAAATTTCTCGATTTTGGCCGGAATAAGCAATTTCTTGATTTAGATGGAAAATGTAAATTTTCAGTTTTTGACAAATAATGTGATTTTTTTTGCTTTCGCGGAAAAATGCAATTTATTAGGTTTCACGGGAAAACACAATTTCTCGGGAGATAATGCAATTTTTGGTTTTCGCAGGAAATTGTAGTTTATTTGTTTTGGTAGGAAAGCGTGATTCTTGGTTTGACGAGAAAATGAATTTTTGGTTTTGGCGAGAATAGAAAATTTCTCGGCTTTTGCAGGAAAGCAAAATTTTTGGTTTTAATGGAAAAATATTATTTTTTGGTTTTTGTAGGAAGATAAAATTTTTTAGTTTTGGTGAAAAACATGATTTTTCGGTTTTGGCGAGAAAACATAGGTTCTCGTGGGAAAATAAAAATTTAGGTGTTAGGTTTGACGAGACAATAATTTTTTTTGGTTTTGGCGGGAATAGGCGCATTTTCAGTTTCATGGGAAAATGAAGTTTTTGTTTTGATAGGAAATGCGATTTCTCGGTTTTTTGTAAGAAGATGAAATTTCTCTATGCTAAATTTCCAAGTTAAAGTATGTTTACAGTAACCAAAATTTAATAATTTAACTTCAACTAAAATGATATTTCAACAATTCAAACAGAATTTTCTATTTAGTTCTAAAGCAATATCAATGGTTTTGATATGAATGTTATTGATTATAGTTTGGTAGTTTTAGAAACATATGTTTATAATAAATATTTGATAAATAAATAAATTATATAATTCAAGATAATCATATTAATTAATAAATCTTTTTTAAAAATGGCATCTTACTTTATATAATTACAAAGGAGGATTAAGTGACAATTTATTGGAGAAAATATATTATATTTGCCATTGGCATGAAGCTACTAAAAATATATTGCTTTATTCTTACATATACATATATAGTTAGTTAGCTAAACAAATCTAATAGCAAGTTATAATTTCAAAAAATAAAAAATTAAGAATATACAATGTTTATTCAAATTAAAAACATATAAATACATAACTTAAGCTAATGAGAATATATATAATATTCATTTACATTATAAAATAATTTTATTATATTAAAAATATATACAAAATTTAGAAAAATATCCCGCAGCATGGCGCGGATAAATACCTAGTTTAAACTAATGATTCAAGACCTAAACAAAGTCTATTTTCATCTCCCGCAATAATTCGTTTGTTGTTAGCAAAAACGAATACGTTTTCGTCGTCACTGTTCATAAGATACATGAAGTATCTACTGTTTTCGGTTTGTACAGCTTGGTGAGATCTACTTGAATTTGTATCCTTCTTCCATTGCTTAGGAGTTAGGACTACTTTATCAAATACGATTTTTAGAATCAGGCGTATTATTGCGTCTCTAAGTGTAGTTAGAGCATCTCAAACAATCCCTCAATATCCTCATATTTTGAGGTTTTTAAGTTTCACAAAGATCTTTAAATCCTTGAATATTGAGATTCTGAATACTGAAATCTCAAATTTGAGCTCTTACTATCAAAACCTTAAAACTTTTTTTTGTTTTTCTTTTTTAATCACCCATATTTTGAAGTTTTACAGTTTTCAACAGACCTTCAAAACCTTAAATTTTCAGATCTTTAACAATGGCATACCAAATTTGAGGTTTTACTATTCAAAACCCCAAAACACTTTTTTTTTGCGTTTTTTAGTCCCTATAACTTATATATCTCAAAGATAATTTAACTGTTTTATTATTATCATTTTATTCCATATATATATATAAATGTAATATATATTTATAAATTGAATAATTACATATAAAATTAAATGAATATACAGCTTAAAACAAATAAACTCATTCATCATTTCAAAATGCATAGTTGATCATACATGGTTGCCTAATGAAAAGAGTTGTATTGAATAAATTTGAATTTTATATATAATTTATGATTTTATACTGTTTATTTTTATTATTATTATGTTATTTTAAAGTTTCATATAATATTTTAGTCAATGTATGTTTTAATTTATTTATAAAAAATTACTATCATAATTAATTAATATTAAAAGTTGAGAATTAATATGCAAAATATATATAATATTATAAATAGATTTGAGAATTTATCGTTAGAGTAATCCACTATCAAACTTTCGATCACCCACGTTGTTTTACTGGAGATGGTTTTGGTAACTGAAAATAATGGCTTTTAATTTGTCTCAAAACTACATATATGTTATATGTATATATATATATAACTTTTATCTATTTTTATTATTTATTTATTTTTTGCTTATATTTTATTTATATTTTGCTTATAATTTTCTTATGTTTTGCGTATTATTTTATTGACGTTTGCTAACAATATATAGCGGATTGAAGAATCTGGACACAAACTAAAATATAAGAAAAACGAACTCAATGTTAGAGAATAGACACATGAATGCATACGACTAAATCATAACCCTCCATATAATAATATAACATATAAATGCCCCAATCATCTCTAAAGAGAGAGGCAAAGCTGTTAAGGTGTTGTAAAAACTCAAGTTTGATCTACATAAGAACTAGGGTTTGTGGGTTTAAAAAGAAGTCTTCTATTAGAAAAAGTCGAAGCTTAAATAAATACATGGAGGTTTAGGTCGTCGGAATAAGAACGCCGACCTAAACTTTTATGGAAAGTAAATCGAAAACTAG